GAGCTACTTAAAACTGCCTTCTCAAACTGGCCTTTCATAAAGGAGAGCAGTACCGGCGGCAATCAGGAACTAATGAGGACCATGCCAAGGCAGCAGTTGACAAAGATCAGACAAACGCCACCTGGAAAAGCCACTCTCCCTCTGGTTTCAGCAGGGAGAAGACAGGAGCAGCCACGGCTGCAAGGGAGCTCACCTCTTGAGACTCCTCCCAGGACTTGGGTCTGGATGCGCTCAGGCCCTGTAGGGAAGCCTGGTGGGAGCCAGGCACAGTTGCTGCTCTGCATGCTGCACACCTCTGGCCAGACCCCGGTCACCGCGCCCAGGTGGGCTCCTCCAGCTCTGGGACCAGGCCTCTCCGCTCCCTTCCAGCTGAGCCAGGAGGCCAAGCCCACGTCTGTCCTCCAGGACGCAGTGGCCCCTCGACCCCGTCAGATGGCCACTAATCATGCCGGCAGACTGACGTCACAGGACTGTTTATGCAGTGGCCCTGCCAGAGCAGTCAGATCGCTGAGGCAGACGGCACTCCAAAAATGCTGGGAACGCATCTCAAATGGGCAGCCGGAGACTTGTCCTAACTTTTATTGCTATTTTTAAGATACCTCTATCCCTGGCCAGGCCGGGTTGGAGCGCGAGACCTCAGTTTTATTTGACCACATTTATCTCCAGAGGTCACTGGAAGCCAAGAATAAGAAGGTCATTGAGTTCCCAACACTATTTGCCAGAAAATCAGGGCAGACTTCGTTTCCCACCACGGAAGCAGTTTTAAACACGGGCTCTGGGGCTAGCTGAAGAGTTATCTCTGTTTCTCACAATACTTGTCTATCACTGTCATTCCTCCTCCTTTTCCTCCTCCTGCTCCTCCCACCCCCCTCTCTCTCGTATCTCAAGTGTCTTAGCTCCTGGCTTAGAAAGACATTCACAGGCCTTATCCTTCACTTTCTAACTCTCCAGAGAACAGACCCAGACAAGTGACGCGGCATGAAGTGGGTAGGACCCACATAAGGTGGAGATTCCTATCAACGACTCTTATGGATGTAGAGTAGCCCCCTAAGCAGACCCCTTTGGTGTATCTAGATCACAGGCAGACCCGCCTCTCCAACATCTGCCCACACTTCAGAGGACGGCACGTCTTTGTTTTAAACATAACCCTCAGTGTAACCTAACAGTCTTCACACTGTTGTCAAAGCTTGGTGTCATCGCCGTCCTCCAAGAGCCCCTCAGTGGTACCCTGTTGCCCTAAGAGAGACCCTACATACCTCAGTAGACTGGATGCTCTCCTTGACCTGGCCTTCATTTTTCCTTCCAGGCTCTTCTCCATAGCCTATCCCGCTGGCCCCATCCTGCCTCCCTGGCTGCAGCGTTCTCCCAGGACCTCCGTCATCACCTGACGCCCCTGCTTGCTGCCACCCTGCCCTCCACCCTCCCCACCTGCTTCCCAGCCATACCAGCATGGCCACATGAGTGAGGAGTTTTAACGAGCTGATCTCTATGGCCACTCTTGCATTATTCATCCTGCAGGCTTCGTCTCCCTTGAAACTTCCCTGAACACTTATGTCCTGGTTAGCTAGGTGCAGGGACTCCCTTCTCAGGGCTCCGGTGGCAGTGACCTCTGTAAATTATTCAAGCTGTATTATAATTGCTTGTTTACTTACTCATCTGCTCCATTTAGGCCATTTAGAGTTCTGGGGGGAGGCACTGTGTCTTGTTCACTATTACATGGCCAATGCCAAACTTATAGTAGGGTCTCAAAAATATCTGCATAATGAGCCTATGATCCTCACAGGCACCGAGAGTGGGGAAACTGACGGATGCTCCAAAAGTCATTTCAGCTTGATCTTCAGATGATTTATTTTCTGCAGATACATTTTCTTGGCAGAAACATAGAATTAAAGTATACTTCCTACACCGGTACCCACTGATAATTCTGCCACTTAGTGGCAGAATGTTTTCTAAAATGGGCCAAAGGCAGCCATAATCCTGTCTATGTATATAGAAACAGTGGGGGAGGCTGCCAGAGCCGTACAGCGGATGGAGATACAGTGAGGATGAAGGCAGTTACAAGAAAGCCCAATCAGATCCACGTGTACTCATGACCCTGGCGTCCTGGGCCACTGAGTGGTGCTCATTCACCCTGGTTTCTCACTAGGGCTGCCGGCAGTCATGTGGAGTTTGTAGACACAGTCCACATTGACCGAAGTAGAGTTGGGAGATGAACAAAGATTGGATTTGGGCAGACTCGATTAAACAAAAACTTGCCTACCTTTAGACCTACCTTTAGCTTGTGCTATGGGGGCCATTAAAGTCCCTTCTTGTTTAAGCCAGTTAAACCACTGACATATCTGGAAAGCGTATTCATATGTGTTAGTGGAAGAGTGGATGGTCGGGGGAAGGGGCAAGATCAGACTCTTGGTGCTCGGTGATAGACAAGTACTTCTAGGTGACTAAGGACACAGGTGGCGAGAGCCTTGCTTCCCCACACAGCAAGTCACGTGGAGGTGGAGACCTGCATCCTCGCACAGATGTGGGCTGCAGCTCGGGGTCTGTCACTAGAAACCTCTATAATCTTAGAGAGCTCTTCCAATTTCTAAGCCTGTTTGCTTCTATGTAGAAAGAGATATTACAACAAGATGATTTCTATGATCCCAGGTATAAAAATGATTTTGTAATTTTCACTTTTCAGTGCCTGTTTGTTTAATGCAAACATGTCGACTGACTTCATGGACCCTCATAAAGCAGACCTAGATGCTACTGGAAAAGGCCTAGGGCAGGCCCAGACTCTCTGTACCATGGAACTACATCTTTCAGGTCTGCAGACCAAACTCCACACCATGGACAGTCTAACATGCCAGCCATACACTGAGCCCCTGGGCAGGGCGTGGTCTGGGAGCAAACCTGCCTGCAATATGACTTCAGTACAGGAGTCAAACTCCTGTAGCCCCAGATGTGGAAACCCTGCAACATCTAGTCTGATATAAGTCAATATCTATGGTAAATTTATTCATCCATTCTTGGGTCTGGTCCCTGGTTTTCCATCTTTTATTGGTTGGCTACAGTTGAACCCTGAAGTTATTGTTCCTGGAGCCAGAGTACCCTTCTATTTAAACCATAGGTTTAAAGGTTGTTTTGCTCCACCATCGGAGCTGGGAATCCCACTGAGCTCTCTCTCATCGGTGGTCTCATAAGCAGCTGTCTCACGAATGGCTGAGCCGGGCACCAAGGTGTCCCCGGTGGGAGAGCAGGGCAGTCACACCCGGGTCGTCCCTGCTGTAAACACTACCGGAACACCGCCTCTTCCGTGGAGACCGCAGCGGCTTTCACGGCAGACATTACTGGGATGTTCCGAGAAAGCCCTGTGCTGGTCCCACGATACCTCCTTCTAGGTTTTGTTATTGCTGTCATTGTTCTGTTTTGTTAATATACGAGGTATGTGAGCTTTATTGGCAGTACCATTTAACCAGGGTACAAAGGGTTAAATAAATGATTCCCCTCTGCTCTCCTTCTCTTTATTTGCCCTCTTGGGTGAATAGCAGCAGAGAGTTTTCCGTTTCTTGGCTTCAGTGACCCTGTGGTGACCTTCAGTCATGACGCTGAGTTGGGCCACTCTAGCATTCCAGTTTCCTGTGTCTAGGAGTTAGGTGAAAATTGTTTCTTGGATTTCCTAACACCATTTTAAATATGACGTGATTGCAATTATTAATAAATTCATCATATTTACTATAAAATCAGAATCTCTTAGCCTTAGCATCTTCCCTCTCCCTGTCAGTGGGACCACAATTTCCCAGTCCTCTGACTTCAGTCCAAGCTTTGGAGACATTCTTACCTTGGCCTTTCCATGTCTATTGTCACCAACTTTCAACACATTACATGAAAAGGCTCATCTTCTCCCTTCCTCTTAGTTCCTTCCACCACCCTGGTCTATACCCGAAAGGCTCCTGTCTACACGATGCAGAGGCCCAGAGGCCTCCCTGACTATCCCAACTCCAACCCATCTTCCTTTCTGAGACCAGATCAGTTTTCCCAAACCTACCTTTTATCTTAGCATTCCCTGACACTAAACAGGCCAATATCTACTTACTGCACACATTAAAATTCCTGTCAGATTTCAGGACTTCCCATTATGTACTGCCTCCTGTCTATTCAAATTCAATAACATTTTGGCCTGTACTACCCTCAGAGTTTCTGCACGTGTGGTATTTCCTGTACCAGTCCCCATTAGTGTCTTCCAAGCACACTCCTTGCTAACTACATTGCCAACATTCCGCCTTTGCCCCACCTATGACTTGCCCATGCTGACCCCCATCTAGAATGCTCTCCCTGTCGTCCTCCAACTCCAGCAGCCCCTTAAGGAAGCCCAGCCTTTCCATTCTAGTCCCCAGCGGTCCCCCCTCCTCTGAACACCCACAGTACCCATATGATCACGGAATAATATGCTCTTTCCTATCTGTTCTGCTTCTTTCTTCCCAACCAGATCATAAACCCCTTGATGGTGAGGACAAGGCTGTACAGTTCTTTGTCTGTTCCTTAGTCTAACAAGAGGCACTCAACAAATACTTGTTGATTCACTGAAATTGATTTATAATGACGGGGGAGCAGGAGACAGAAGAAAAGGAGAATGGCGTACAGTCATGCGTCACTTAACAACAGGGCATGTTCTGAGAAATGCTTGCAGGCCCTTTTGTCATTGTGTGAGCATCACAGAATGCAGTTCCACACTCCTACATGGCACAGCTTACTACACACCTAGGTATAAGGTCTAGCCTACTGCTCCTAGGCTACAAACTTGTACAGCATGTGACTGCCCTGAATACTGTGGGCAACTGGAACACCATGGTAAGATTTTGTGTTTCCAAACATAGAAAAAGTACAGTAGAAATACGGCGTAATCTCACAGGACCACTGTTGTATGAGTGGTTCGTCATTGACGGAAATGTCGCTATGTGGCTCACGTAATTCTAGGTCATTCAGATAATTACAGGGATCTAGCCTGAAGGTTACTTTACCTGCAGAATTGAACTTCCTGGTCAAACTGTGAGTTCTCTGGCTGCGTTCCCTCCTTCAGCTGGCTGATGTTGAAAAAGGAGAGGGTGTGGTTGACAAAGCCATGCAGAGTCCCGTTGTGACTGTAGGAGTACTGGTACACGAGGCGGGGGATAAAGTCGGAGGTGATGGCGATGACAAAAGCCTGAGGGACATAACCACCAGCACTGAGAGTAGTCAGGACACACGGTGTCCAGAAGCCACAGGGTCCACTTGGCTGCAGGACTGTCCACTCTTGGGCCCTCAATCAGGAGGAGCTGCTCTGACTGACACAGGGGCACATGCAGCACTGTCAGGTCCCTGTCCCTGAGCCTGTGCTGCTGGGTTTTCTGGCTTTTCCTCCTTTTATACATATAAGTAAATCCAGACAGTGGCTGTCAAGAAATTGCAACCCCCGCAGCACAGAACACTAAGCCAGTTTGGACCATTTGGTGTTGGAGGGATTAATCCACCTCTAGGACATTTGAATTGGCAATGGTGTTGGCCAAGCCCAAACAGAGCGCATGATTTCCTAAGAAAATTACCTGCCATGTTGAGTGTGCTTCTTAAGGGCAACGGACAAGGAAATTGAGTGGTCGTGTGCATCTGCCCCTGGGTGACACCAGAAAGCCAGCACTACCAAGAGGACAGTCCCACAGTTCTTTCAGTTTGACCATTATCTCTCAACACTGTTTAGCACATATGAAATGGGAGTTGTTCCTTTATCCATTTTACTTAAGACAGTGAGACACAGAGGGGAAGGGCATCGGTCCTGCTCGGCGGGCGGGGCGGCTCGCACCCCACACAGAGTCCGGAGTGCCTGAGTGCTCCATAAATGTCTCCAGAGCACACCAAATGGCAGATGAATGATTGTGTGTTTGAACATGGAGGAACTTTCTGCAAAGAAAATCTTAAATCTTTTTGGCAGGTGTTTATGCTGTATTCTGCACCCACAATTAAAGCCCTTTACAAAAATGTGGTTTAGATATTGTTTTCTAAATGTATATGTGAGTGTGGACGGCCATAACCATAACCGTATTTGAGAAGGAATAACACACTGACAACAATCACAGCTACAACTTACTGAGCACTGGTTATATGTCCTTTCATCATTCCACTTAATTCCCAGAATGCCCCTATTTGGTGGGTACTATTTTACAGATAAATAAATGGTATCTCCCATTTTACAGATAAATAAGCAAGCTTTAGAGAGGCCAGGGAAGTAACGCTTTGTGTCACTCTTTTCTGTAGATGGAAAGTGGTTAATGCTCAGAGCCTGTTTTCTAGTAGACAAAGCTCAGAGCAGCTGCTGATGTGTTTTCCAAACAGCACTTGATTTCTAAGCCTCAACATGTGCACTTCCCGCATCAAAACATCCAGAATGCAGCGGCTGATTTCCTCTGCCTATCCTCACACCTCTCCAGCCATCTCCTGTGTTCTTAGTAGGAAATGAGGTTAGTGTCCAATCAGCATTTCTCTCCTGAGGGAAAGTGGGCTGTGGCTTTCTGGATGTGCCCGGAGGGGAACGATCCTGTCCTGGGAGGTGGGGCAGGAGGCCCTGCCAGGCCACCGTCCATCCTGAGCGGGACAGAAAAGCAAACGCTGGCTGGTGCCCGGCAGGATTTCCTCTGCGCTGTGGACATGTCTGGCAAGGCAGTTAAGGGGTCACAGCAGGTAGGACCCCTCTTCTTCCACGTCCTACCTTAAACTACGCAGTGCCACGGGGATAATTAAGACTTTGGCTCGACAACTTGGAGGGACCATAATTAGGACTTGTGGCCTGGGCAAGGCTCCAGGTATTGTTTAACTCAGGAGTAGGATAAGAAAGGAAAGAGATGAATAGATACGTGGCATTCTTTCCCCATTATTCTTGGCTCTGAGGAAAGATCTGATTTGACTGTTACGCTAAGGTATGCATTCTGGTAGATAATTACCCTTCTTTCTCTCAGTGAAATTAAAAATAAAGTTGCCAGCTCTGGGGATAGCATGATGAGTTACCAGGCATGTGTGCACCAGGGGCTGTCTCAAAGTAAAACTCCAAATGGAAAAGGCTGGGGGTGACTGGGCTGGGCTCCTGCTCTGAAGACCTTGTCTCTCTGGAAGCACTTCTCAGGAAGCACTTCCTACAGAGCCGGGGTGTCAGGAAGCACTTCCTACAGAGCTGGGGTGTCAGGAAGCACTTCCTACAGAGCTGGGGTGTCAGGAAGCACTTCCTACAGAGCTGGGTGTCAGGAAGCACTTTCTCCAGAGCCGGGGTGTCAGGAAGCACTTCCTACAGAGCTGGGGTGTCAGGAAGCACTTCCTACAGAGCTGGGTGTCAGGAAGCACTTACTACACTACAGAGCTGGGTGTCAGGAAGCACTTCCTACAGAGCTGGGTGTCAGGAAGCACTTCCTACAGAGCCGGGAAGTCAGGAAGCATTTCCTCCTGAGCCAGGGTGTCAGGAAGCACTTCCTACAGAGCCGGGTGTCAGGAGTTAAGCACTTACATTGCTGATAACAGAGAACTTGCCGATTCCAGACAGAATGTCAAACCAGATTCCTGTGAGACAGATAAAAGGGCGTCAGGGTCACTCCCGCTCTTGGCCCAGCCATGAGATGCTGCAGCTCCAGGGGACCTTTTGCAGGCAAGTTCCCCGGGGCTGCTGGCTGGGCTTCTCAGAACGGGCTTGTCTGGAGAGGCTGAGGTGCCCATTGTCTGGAAGCGTGGGGCAGGCTGAGGTGCCCCGCACCCCCCCCAACGTGGCTCCGGAGACCTCCCCCCACTGAGGACGTGGCGGTGGGGAACTCAAGGGGTGACAAGGCAAGGGCTTTCCTGACATCGTGTGACAGTGGCTGAGGGACAGAATGGTGGGGGGTATGGTGGCCTCCGAGTTGGGGACACACCAATGTCTTTGGTTCTCACGGCGTCAGGCCGCCGCAGCTCCGTGACAAACTTCTTGGCATCAAGTCGCACTTCGATGACGTTGTTGAGGAGGGCAAAGACAGGTGCCAGCGGGAAGGAGGCCACGAAGAGGGTGACGAAACCGAACTGGATGACTGGGAGAGAGAAGGCAGGGGAGGCGTCAGCAGGCAACGGGGCTCACAACCCCGCCCTGCCACGCAGCCATACCGACATTCTCAGTCCGCCTGCTCCTCGAGCCACACACACGCATTTCCCTCTCGGGACCCGCAGGCCTGCCGGTCACTGCCGTCCCTGGGAGCAAAGCTCTGGATGGGGCGTGGTGGAGACAGGAGAAAGGGAACGCCGTAACTATGGCCGTCCCCCTCCGCCTCCATTCGTGAACCCATCCACGTCACCCGGAGGTTGGCAGACCGCAGTAAAGGGCCAGAGAGTGAATGTTTTTGGATTTACAGGCCATATGGTCTTGTCACAACCACTCGACTCTGCCCTTGCAGAGGGAAGGCAGCCAGGGGCGGCACATAAACAAATGGGCACACTGAATTCCAGTAAAATCTTTATTTACAAAAGCAGTAAATAAAGCAGGTTGGATTTGGCCCGCGGGCCATAGTCTGCCAACCCTTGATGTAACTTTAAAAACCACCTCCCAAATTTGTACTCTTCTCTGATGTCTACAGTCACTGCCTTTGTTTAGAAACTTTGTTCGCCCACCGCACATCTATCGCGAGCTGGTGCAGTGTCAGGCGCTGGCCAAGTGTCTGAGGAGACAAAGGTCTGGGCCTGCCTTCGAGGAGGCAGGTTTGGAGAAGGGGGTGAACGCAGACAGCGACGCGAAGCAGAACAAGGGACGTGCAGTGGCCTTGGGGACCCGCAGCGGGGAGAGCTCGAGTCTGTTCAAGGCAGGGACGGAGGGAAGTCCCCACACGGAACACCTGAGAGCGGTCTTGAAAGACCGGCCTGCCGATTCTGGGAAGACTGAATCAGAGATACCCCAAGCCCGGGGAGCAGCCTACGCAAAGGTGTGCTGGCAGCCTGTGCCTCAGCAGCTGAATCAGTCGGCCCGCCAGATCACTGCAACAGCCTCCTGACTGGCTTCCTTGTCACCTGTCTGCCAGGCTGCTAGAGTCCAGCCAGCACACAGCCCCTGTAATCTGATCTTGTTACCTGCTTGCTCCTAAAATTTCCTATGGGCTCCCCTCGGTTCACTGAATAGGGTGCAAATCCCCAGCTTGCATACAGGCACTTCACACACTGCTGCCAACACACCTCAGCTCCCAACATCTGCCCCACAGGCATCATGCTCCTGCCTTCTCAGCCTTTGAACTGCTCATTCTCTTGATTTTCCTGCCACACTGAGTCCTCCCATTCATCTGCGCACAAGCACCCTCTCTCCAGCTGGAAACCTTCTACACATCCCGACACCACCCAATGCCACCTCCTCGGTGAAGCCCGTGACCCCTCCTGTGAAGAACCCCCCCTCCCCCCGTGCTCAGGCCTCTGTGGCGGCATCGCTGTACACTGCTGAGCCGGACTTACTCACGCAGCTGTGTCCACTGGAAAGGCTAGGGTGCCGTCCACTCTGGGGTCTCAGTGCATATTTGCTGATGGAAACACAGTCCTGGGTCCCAAGAAAGTCAGTCTAATAGGACTTCCCTACATGCTAATGGCAAGTTATTAAACTTCTCTGAGCCTCAGGTACTTCAACTGTAAATTGGGAAAAATAATAATACCCACCTAATAGGGTTTCCATAGGGGTAAATGATATTACATACACAATGTGCTTAGAACACATAGTAACTGTTCAATAAATGTGACCTATGATGTGTAATTTTATTCTAACTGGAATAAATGTCAACATGTACAGATGGATATTTATATGCTAAAACTATATAAACTTAAGGTTTAAACACCGATGGCGTCAGGAGACCCGACTTTCAGCTGTGGACATCACTAACTAGCTTTCGGACTGTGGCCAAGCCTGTCGTTTCAATGGGCATCGCCATCCTCACTGCCAAACTGAAGGAACTGGTTTAACTTCCCTCAGGTCTGATGTGCTGTAATGCTATGATCCTCATTCTCTTAGATAAGCTTCGAGATTGTAGGCTGTTCAAATAAACAAGGAAAATCCAGGACCCAAACTGAAAAAAAAATTATATTTTTATGGAGGGTTAAGCCTTCTTTGCACTAGAAGTTTCAGGAAAGACAACAAGCACAGAACTTTACCTAGCCCAGCTGCTTGTAATTTGGCAGGTTGCTCGACCCCCAGTTGTGGGTCACTGCTCTTGCAGATACAACCCTGTCTACTACCATCGACCTCCATGCCCAGTAAGTTCTCAGCAGGGTCCAGGAGACTGGCAGGCACCAGTCAGCGCCAGGGCACTTGCACTTGGAAGGGACAGGTTTTCCAAGGTCGGGCCCTCAGAATGACGACCTGGTGAGCTGGCTGGCCAACAGGGACTGAGAAGCGGTGAAGAAATCTCAAGCAAGCTCTGGGAGCCAGTTCAAAATGCAGGGTCTATCGCATCTCTTAAATGAGGCTTTGCTGAGGAATTCACTTTGGAGTCAGGGGTAGGGGGAGAGCAGGGAGGTGGAAGGGGACAGAATTAACAAGGAAAGCAAAACAGATGTTAGACTAGTTTTCTAAAACCTGTAAAATGCATGTCTGTATTTAAGTATATATGTATGGATGTATCCTTATTTATGGAGTTCTAAGTCGGTCTTCTTGATTCTAATGGGCTCAGTTCAACAGGGCAAACGTTCTTATCATAAGCGACTTCCTCCAGCAGAACTGTGTAAACTCCACAAAGCCTCAGCAAGGGTTTGGCGAGGAGACTGATGGGGAGGAGGAAGGACAGTTTACTTGCGAATGATTGCAAATGTATACAGCATGCCCTCGCCACACTCACACAGGCAGTGCTTAGAAAGCCAACATCCTTCCAGCACGACAGGGAGAGTGGGACCCTCCACTTAGCACTCTTCTCTCTTCACGTGAACTCCAGAGACGGACATCACGCTGTCCTTGAGGGCTGTCCTGACCTTCCAGACACAGGCTCCGTTGTTCCTCTCCTCTCAACACGAACATCGTCCAGTGCTGGCTTCATGCTCTCTAGTAGCTCCTATTAGTTACCCCATAACAGAGTGTCTCATCTCACGTTAACTCCACGTGCTCAGCACTGGACAACCTCAACAGATCCCCTACCTGCACCATTACTCCAGGGCGTCCCGGCCGGGAACACCCCTCTCTGCAAGTGTCCCACAGCTGCAAGTGTTGCCTGCTCACATTGGGCACGCTGGGATTCAATCCAAAGAGGCGGAAACAAATAGGAAGCTTTGTTTTATCTTGGGGAGAAAAAATATAAAACCATACCCTCCAGCATGCAAATTCCAAACGCAAGACTTGCTCTGCTCAGTCAAAGGCCTAAAACATTGCATGGGATGGAAGTCCTTCTGGGTTCACCTCGAGGACACGATGATACCAGCCTTCACCAACACCAAGATTTGTTTCTAAAAACAGCGAGCCTCCACTAGGATAAGGGTAATGCCGGAAATCCTCCGCGTGCTGCGTAATAGAAGCCAGCTTGGCCTGACCAAGAACAGATTAAACCTGGCCGAGCCAATTAGGAAGAAATCTTTCAGTTGATTTTCAACCAAATCTTTCCAAAGCCAGTTATAAAGTGCTCCAGAAATGCTGAGTTGGAAGCACAAAGAGTGGAAATACCCCTAGGTATAAACTCCGTTGCTTTTTCTCTTCTCGCACTGCGGCAGCCAGGGATCTTTAGAATAACCACCAGCCCGTGTTGCCTGGTGCTGGAGACAATTAAATCACCGGCGATTTCCTGGGCTTAGCTTAAAATAACAAGGAGAAGTGGGTTAAAGTAAACAAGACAACATCCTGCATGGACATTTCAGGACAATCTGCTCAGAGAAGACAGACAGTATAATAGGTAGAGTAGAATAGACTGGCCAGGCTTGGTGGAAAAGATCTCAATGAAACACAACTCTGATTTTTCATTCATTTATTTAAAATTCTTCAGTGAAAATATCCACCTTCCCACGAAAAAGTTCAGACCTTTGACCTGGCATTCAAGGCCCTTTTGATCTTACTTTAACTTATATTTTCCAAACTCACTTCCTCCCTGCCCATGTTCTGTTCTCCAGGCAAATATTTAGCTGGTATGTCGGAAGTCAACTGTGCCTGCTTTCCAACCATTCCAAAACCATTTGGACTTCCCAAAACTCACCATGTTTGGTACACACCACTACTGTCTCTGATTTTCCTTCTCCTCCAGCCTGCTGAGTGCAGCTCTGTTCATCTTTCAGGCTCAACTCAACCTTCTCTGGGAAGACTCCTCCACCCTTGCTTCCCTCCCGCTCGCCCAGGTGGAATTAGGTGCCATGGGCTTCACTCCCTGCTCCATAATGACTTGCACAGGCCCCTCTGTTCATCTGACCTGTCCCCAGATGGGGGCTCCTTGAGGCCAGGGACCACACCGGCCTCTCTTCTGAGTCCTCACCCACCATCTTTCGTGGTGCCTGTCACATTACAGATGCCTATACTTTCACCAGCTGTGAAACACACACACAAACGGCAAAAAACAGAAATGTGCGAGCTGAAAGCATCGTACTTGACGACAGTGAGAAGAGAGGGAGATGAAGTATTTGCATTTCCCGCCGTAATTGCTGTAACCTCCACAGAAGACTTTGAAGAAAGTTGGAGTAAAAGCAGTCACTGAGGAGAGTCTAATCTAATGAAAATAATTATAATTTTTAAAAATTTTCTATTGTTTAATAAAAGCAACACAGTCTGCTTAAAGGGATTGAAAACTGAGGGCTTAAGAATTCCCTTTTGCTGGGCATGGTGGTGCATGCCTGTAGTCCCAGCTACTCGGGAGGCTGAGGCAGGAGGACCGCTTGAGCCCAGGAGTTGGATGCTGTAGTGTGCTAGGATCGTGCCTGTGGGTGGCCACTGCACTTCAGCCTGGGCAACATAGTGAGACCCTGTTTTTAAAATAATAATGATGATGATGATGATGATGATGATGATGATAATCCTCTTTTTTTGTGATCCACTAATGAGCAATGCAATGTTCTAATTGAGGGACACACTCATATGAGTTTGTCTTCTCATTCAGGAGGC